ATCGTTCATAAATCATTTTCATAAACTTAAACCTCTATAACTTTTTTTTTGGTTTCACTTTTTAAAGTTTTTTACTTCAACAATAATCTGCCATGGGTCTTCTTTAAAATGAGACCAAACTTATCTCTGTGCTCCCAAGCTTCAATTTTTATGACAGTTTTTTGACATGGACATTTTTGTCCATTATGGACCTATGTGTAACCTTTTTTAAGTGACGCACATCTTCAGTTTTTATTTTTTGATGAATTGCTATTAATGCAGATGTAATGATGACCAGAAATGACCAGCAGCACAAATGTTAAGTCTTCTGAAGTAATACTATACTTTTGTTTTGTGAATATTAGATTGAAATTTAAACCTAAAGATTGATCAAATCGTGAATACACAGCATAAATGAAAAATTACAAACCTCAACTAACATCCCACAAGAATGACATCATGACATCTAAGTATCTGTCATGTTTGATGTAATGTAGTGTGTCACCATTTTGATTCAGACTGAATTGGCAGAGTGAATAACATCTTAAATTTCATTTTGTCTATCAATCTGCCAAAGTCTTTTTGTATTTTGTGTTGCTTCAGAAGAATACCAGTGAAGTCTTTTAAGTTCTGATTATAAATATTGTTACGTCTAAGACATATTGTATGCTGTGGCTGTGTTCCTGTTGTCTCCTCTCTACCAGGATTGGTCCAAGGCTTAATGAGAGGCTGCTGGTGGGTGGACCAGAGATGAGACCTGTACTATAAATTCCCCCGGATCTCGCTGTAGGGCGCTCTCGCTCTTGCTCTCGCTCTCTCTTTGACTGCCACTTTTTTTTGATGCTCGCTATGATCATTGCTCTGTATGTCTCTCTTTAATTGATCATGCTTGCTCCGGTGTTAAGCCTGTGTGTTAAGCTCTAGTGAAAATGCTGTGAGATCTCAAGTCTATATTCTAACAGAATGCTGTTAGCTCCATGTGTTGTGAGAGCCTTATGTCTTGAACTTCAATGTTCCATTGTTCATGTTTGTAAGCCACGTGTGAGGCCGTAGGGGGTGAGTGCCTTATTTGTCCGGCCGGTTGTTCGGTGCGGATGGTCTAAATTGGGCGTTTGTCCATTGCGGATAACATAAATTAGGGACTCGTTTGGTGCAGGTAATAAATTGTGGAGGTTTATTTGGGCGTATCAGTGAAGGGTAAGATGAATTGGAGATTTGGTTATGGCTTTTTTATTAAGGTACCATATGTTGCGGATTCGTTCAGTACGTATCAATGAAGGTATTTGGCGGAATTAACCATGCGTTTGTTTGCCTGGTAATTTTCTTTTGGTGCGGGACGAGTTTACGGTCAAATATGGAATTTGATTTAATGTTGTTTATGTTATCTCCTACTACGGAGGAATTTAACAAGTGTCGTAAGGCTGATTTGTTGCAGATTGCAGATGTCTTTAATTTTTCTGTTCTTTGGGAGGGGCCAAAACAGGTAGTTAAAGAGAAGTTGTATAACAAGTTGGTAGAGGCTGGAATTTTGCCGGATGAATCTGTGGAAGGGTTACCACGGAAGAGTGTTGAAACTGAGGTAGGTGAGGACACTTTTTTTTCTTTTCCTAACATAGATCCTAGTCATCCTCATTTTGATCCTATGTTAGCGATTAAATTGAAGGAGTTGGATCTACAGTTAAAGACACAGGATTATGATGCGCAGCTGCTTCATTTTCGAACTTTGGAGTTACAGGCTGATAGTAAATTTAAATTATGTAGACTGGAACTACAAGCCAAAGAGCAATCTAATGCACCTGTGCCTAGGTCTAGACCTCCATCTCCTCGTTCGCCAGTGAATGCATCAGTTTCAGCTGTATCGGCGCAAAGTCCGCCACACGCTACTTCTTCGTCTGTTGGTGAGTCTGTAACCAGTCTTGATGTGTTTTAGAGAGACGGAGGTAGATTCTTACTTCGTTGCTTTTGAGCGTATTGCAGCTACCTTACGTTGGCCGAAAGAGTTGTGGTCGTTGCTTCTGCAGTGTAAGTTAGTGGGTAAAGCTCAGGAAGTGTGTACAGCTTTACCTATCGAGCAAAGTCGGGACTATGGTATTGTCAAAGCTGCGGTGTTGCGAGCGTACGAATTAGTACCTGAAGCTTATCATCAGAGATTCCGAAACCATCAGAAAATAGCCAGTCAAACACTTAGTGAGTTTGCTCGTGAGAAAACTGTGTTGTTTGATGAATGGTGTACAGCAAGCAGAGTTACCACGTTTGAGCAGTTACGACAACTTTTACTGTTAGAGGATTTTAAAAGTTGCGTTTCGGAGGATATTGTTGTATATCTAAATGAGCAAAAGGTATTGTCCGTACCGAAAGCCGCTGTTTTGGCAGATGAATTTGTGCTCACGCACAAAACTGTTTTTACTCCATCTGTGTGTAGAGAGAAAAATGGTTCATCTGTTGAATTTTCTGTGAGAAACAGCTCGAGAGTTTTTAATAAGGGTAAGGGAAAACGAGGGAGTAGAGAAGCCATGTCGAATGTGTTTCGTAACACAAATGTGTCTTGTGAGGGAGAAAGACGCGTGTGTTTTTTTTGCCGTGAGCCAGGACATTTAATTGTAGACTGTAAGCGCTGGAATCAGGGTAAGCCTCCTGAGAAACCAAAAGGAGTTGCTTTAGTCCATACTGCTTCCATGCCGTCTCAGTTTTCTAGTTCGCATACTGAGTTGTACTGCCCATTTATTATGAATGGTTCTGTATCTCTTTCAGAGGAGCAGGAAGATTTGAAGCCTATTACAATCTTGCGAGATACGGGTTCAGTTCAGTCTTTCATCTTGGAAAGTGCACTAGAATTTTCTGAACAGTCATACTGCGGAGCGAGCGTGTTAATCCGTGGCATTGAGCTTGGCTGTGTTAAAGTGCCCTTACATTCAGTTTATCTCCAGTCTGATTTGTTCACAGGGTTCACGAAGTTGGGAGTACGTACTCGGCTTCCTGTTGAGGGAGTCGATCTGATTTTGGGTAACGATATCGCTGGTGGTGAAGTGTTTCCTCAGCCTATCGTAGTGGACACGCCAGATGTGACTGAGGTGCGCAAACAGATTGATGTGGGTCAACAATTTCCGTCTGTCTTTTCGGCCTGCGCGGTAACGCGTGCTCAGACTAGAAAGTTGAAACATTCATGACTGATAGAGTTGACAAAAAGGAATGTGCAGGATGTTTTTTCTAGTGTCTGTATTCCTGATCAGGATGTTGCAGTCCGACTTGAGTCTCTGCTGGGAACAGGGAGTGAGTGTGGTGGCTTCTGCCGTTGCTGTGAAGAATCTTTCTCAGAGTCTTGGGAGTTTTGATGCCAGAAGAGATTTTATTTCCAGAGACAATAAAACCTGAGAGAACTCTGCAGAGCAATCTCTTGAATCTTTTTCTGTACCCTCTTATATACAGTTTTTTCTCTGGGCATGTTCAATACATTTCATTCATATGGGATCACGATGCAGTCATGAGACCTTAATTTTATGTTCTGTGAAAATAAGGGCCCCATTATGTGCCATCATGTGCTTATCATGTACTTCACCATATGTCTGCACATTCCATTCTCATACAGATTTCTATACATGCAGGCAAATACACATGATTATAATAGTGGAATAACTTAATACATAAATGGCTATCTTCACATTGATTATACTTGAATCATTTATATTTTGATTAATTAAACTCTTCTTCACTAGCCAGCTAATCCGGCTTCATGGTACAGGCCCCTGGTTCTACTTAGTAGGATAGTTCATCCAAAAATCATCTACTTGCCCTCTTGTCATTATAAACCAGTTACAAAGACATTCGTTCTTCTGCGGAACACAATAAGCAGATGTTTTGAAGAATGTTGGTAAACAAACAGTTTTGGTTCCCATTGACTTCCATTGTATTTTTTGTTCGATTACCAACATTCTTCAATTTTCTTCTTTCGTGTTCCATGGAGGAAAGAAAATCATTTCAGTTTAGAAAGATCTGATGACAGAATTTTAATTTTTGGGTGAAACTATCACTTCAAGAAATGTTCTTTGATTGTCAGTGTTTTTTTATGCATTTATTGTTGAATCTTTTTATTTTTCCAGCTGAACAGGGTCCAGAATTAACACGCGCCCAACGCCAAACCTAAATAACAGTCAGCTTAGACGAGTAAATAAAACTGTTTTACTGAGCGGTTTGCTGATAACTTTAATAGAAACTACTGTTCTGTAGTTTCAGGGGAATTAGTAATCTGATTAACTGATTCAATTCAAAGATTCAAACATTTAAAGAAACACAAACTCACATGTCGTCTAAAAACAGCATCAGATGTTCATCCGGGATGAAGTTATTCTTCTAGAACTCTCTTTAAAGCAGCAGAAACAGCATCTGCATCATCATTAGATTAAGAGTCTGTATTTTAGTTTAGTGTAGCAGGTTTGGAAAACCTTCATTTTATGTTCTGTGAAAATAAGGGCCCCATTATGTGCCATCATGTGCTTATCATGTACTTCACCATATGTCTGCACATTCCATTCTCATACAGATTTCTATACATGCAGGCAAATACACATGATTATAATAGTGGAATAACTTAATACATAAATGGCTATCTTCACATTGATTATACTTGAATCATTTATATTTTGATTAATGAAACTCTTCTTCAGGAGCAGCTGACTGCTGTGCAGAAAGCTGATCCGTCACTAGATAAGTGTGTTGCTGTGGCTGTAGAGAAAGATGAAGTAGCGAATAAGGATGTGGTTTACGTTTGGGAAGATGGGGTGCTCATGCGTAAATGGTCTCCATCAGGGAAGGATCTGAGCTGGAAAACTGTATTTCAGGTAGTGGTCCCTGATAATTATCGTGAACCGATTCTGCGTTTAGCTCATGATCATGCTCTCTCTGGCCATTTGGGAGTAAATAAAACTTTCAATCGCATCATTCGTTATTTTTACTGGCCTGGGTTGAAATCAGCAGTTTCCAAATACTGTCGTTCATGTCATGTATGCCAGTTCGCTGGTAAACCTAATCAGGGAATTCCTAATGCTCCTCCTCTGCTTCCAGTTCTGTCTGAACCATTCGAGAGAATCATTATTGATTGTGTTGGTCCGTTACCAAAGACAAAGTCTGGTTATCAGTACCTGTTAACACTAATGTGTGCTGCTACTCGGTATCCTGAGGCCTGATTCCTATGCGTACAATATATAGTTAAATACTTAACTAATATAGATGGGAAAAAATGATCTTTTATATTTCTGCTTTCACTTATCCTAAAGTTGCTTTGGTTTTTTTATAAAGATGTCAGGTAATTGCTAATGCTAGTTGATAGTTGCACTACTTGCTAGTGCTAGTCCAGTAAAAAAAATTTATTCTGTCATGGTTTACTCACCCTCATGTTGTTCCAAACCCATTTTGAATGACAAATGCTTTTATTTTTAATATTCCTTCATCATTTTTGTCTTTCCATTGGAAGTCTAGGCAGTCTTTATTTTCAAGCTTCAAAAAGTCTTTAGTTTAGGCTTTGACACATAATTAAAAAAAAACTCAGCTCAAGCTTCTCAGTTAATTCTGTGTCAATCGCGATTCCTCAATTTCTAAAAAATAAAACCGCGGCAAAACATAAAATTCGAATTAATCGATTAAAATCTGAAAAATCACCCAGCCCTAATATTTAGCCTTGCTTACATAATAAATAATAGTTTAGCAAACTAATGTTACATTGCAAATATTAAAACATTTGTATTTGTGCTCAATGAGAGATGTACGTTTTTTTTTTTATGTTCGTTTTAAAGGGGTGATATGATGCTGCTAAAAAGAACATTATTTTGTGTATTTGGTGTAATGAAATGTGTTTATGCGGTTTAAAGTTCAAAAAACACATTATTTTCCACATACTGTACATTATTGTTTGTTTTCTATGCCCCGCCTTTCTGAAACGCCTCGATTTTTACAAAGCTCATCGGTCTGAAAAAGCAAGGTGTGCTGTGATTGGCCAGCAACGGTCCTCCATAAAATGTGCTGCATACATCTAAATATTTGGGTCGAAGTGTTCTGGAACAGTGTTGTAAATACAACTTAACCACTGATTTCTAGTCGTGTCCGCATCATATGACCCCTTTAAGTAAATTCATTTTGGCTAGACATTTATTTGTAATTTATAATAAATGCCATTATAATTTGTTTTAATTTGTAATTGTGTAAATAACTTTGTATTGTAGTTTTATAGCTACTTCTTTTTTCTGTTATTTATCTTTCTGAATACCGGTCAAATTTACCGGTAAAAACTAACAACTTGTGTAACTAATTTTTTCCCTCTCAATGCCATTTTGACATTGCAGATTGTTTTTTTTTATCCATGCAGCAATTTTTTTAAGAAAAACATAAAAAATGATTCTTTAACAATTTAACTGATGTGTTAATTTTGAAAAGTCTTACTGTCAGTTAATTGGTAAATGTTAGCATCCCTACCCAGAGATACATACCATAACTTACCTATTAATCTTACCTGTTTTATCTCTGAGTTTCCTTCCCTGCCTGAGGTCATGTGACAGTTTATCAGCTAATAACATGTAACAAGGCGACTTTTGCCATTTAATAACTTTATTGATAACTTCTAAATGTTAACTATATTTGAAGGGATTTTTCCTGTTTCAAATTGGTATAAAATGGAAATTGCAGTTGACTTAGCTACCCAATTATGACGTAGTGTGCCAGTAGTGTGCATGTGTATATCTATCAAGATGAATAAATTAGGTCAATTTATGTTGACCTAAAAATTTGTTTTTAGAACCGACCTGATGAAAATGTATTATTTGAATGTTTATATTTTTCATACTCTAATGATGCTTCAGGAGACGTTTTTCTTAATGCTGCTATGAAAGTAGCTTGTTAATGAAAGTAGCGTGTGCCAAGTCAAATGAGTTTGGCATCTACAGCATTTACCTTATTTTCTAAGTTTTTATTTTCAGGTGTAATCCTTTACAGTGTATTCTTAAACCATCCTATTGTATAACTTTTGTAAACTACATTTGACTCTTGCGTAATGTAATATTTGTAGAACTCACAGCACAGATCCTAATACATTTTTTTTTTTTGGCATAGGCACACTAATTATTTGATAAGCTTTTTGTAATAACACCGTTTGTAACATCAGCCAATCTGTTTACTTTACAGATGGAGCGTGCAGAGACCGGACAGGTCCCATAGTGCTAGTTTTTCAGCACCCAAACCCCACACACAAATTCATATAGAAGTTCTCAATGATTAAATGTTAATATGATAGTTTATATTTAGCTGTGAAGTTATAGTTCATTGTCATAAATATTAAACTAAATATTAAAGTCCCCCTGTAGTGAAAATCAAGTTTTTTATGTTGTTTATTTGTCTATGTGGTTTTTAATATGCTGTTAGACAAGCCATGTGCCAATCCATTAATCAACACCATTGCTGAGCATTTTCTTCTTAAAACTGTAGTTTCCTAATGGCAGTCCCAGAAATGCGGTTTGAAACAGCCCTCGGTTTGCTACGTCACAATCCAATAACCAATCACGTCAAGGGATCGATTC